TATATAATTGAGAAACATACTGTTTGCTTGCGCTTTTGTAAAGGAATCTTTGCTTTCTCGCGAGTTATTCCACTGAAACCATAGGACCATTAAAATGGTAGGTCAAGTCAAACAGGTGAATCTCCGGTAAAGGAAATTTGTAGATATGAAAAAGTCATGGTAGTAAAAAGTTTGAGTTCCTCAAGAATCAGCTCGCTTTTCAAAGGATCAGGAACCCTTCAGTAAGACTGAATCTGACTGACTAGATCGAAATTAGTTTTTTGCTGAAAAATAGGGGTCTGTCTGAATAGATCGTTTACACTGTGCTAATACGGTTAATATAGTCGACCGATGAGGCAAGGAATATTTCCCTATGTAGATTTTTTTAGTCCGATTTAAGAATATGGATCTGGATAGCGCAAAAGTGTCTATTTGATAAACGAGACTGACAGGACAGACCTGAATTCTTGAACCTACAGAAACATTATCGTAGCCTGAAGCCACCTTGCCTAGACAGACGAATCATTCTTGTTTAGAAGTTTACGTAGAGAATGTTTACAGCGTCTGTTATATTCATCCAAACTGTAAATTAATTAATTCCACTCACAGCAATAGACATCAGGCTGGACTCAGTTGAACGAAATAAAGCTTCGCACATCCGAGGGATGTTCAACATTGAAACAAGCCACTAGTTAGCAACCCATCCAGCTGTCGTCGTACTTCGTAGGCTATAGCGCACTGAAGGAAAGGTCATCTTCTGCCGAGATGGATCTCGGAATCCTCTTTGAGCTCCGGTCCTCTAATTCTCAATCATCGGACGGACTTATCACTCACCTCACTGCCGGCCGAGAAATATAGAGATCGGCATTTGCAGCCGGTCGATACAGACTTAGGATTCGTTTCGAGATTTACTTTTTAATATGGAAATTCGGAGAAGCTGCAGTTCTGTTCTCTCGGCTTTCATCTCTGTGCCTGTTTCGGGCGTATGCGCTATGTTCCAATGGCTGCTTAGGAACGTCGGTTCTATTCCCTAGCTAGGTGTTCCCTTACCGTCGTTGGCTCTCCATGTTCAATTCTTCATCTTTGACTTCGCCTTAACAACTCCTGGATAGCCGTGGCCTGGTAAGCTAAAGCCTGTAACTAAGTCCTTCCCGCCGTCTTACCATTTCCCATTTTCCCACATGGTAAGGTGCTACTGCAAATAGTCGACAGCGGCTACGGTGACTCTTTAGCACACACCGACATCCTCGTTCAGTGTTTCTGACGATGACGGCCCTCGCTCTCGACCTTTAGCTTTCTCTATCCAGCACATCGTGGATCAGAGAATTGTTTTTTTAGGTTGAGTTGAATTCGTTCGCTTGTTCATTCTAAATTACCATTTTGCAGTTTACTAGGACAACCATCATTTCTGCTACTGACCACTTTTAGTACCAAATGCAAAGCACTGAGCGCTTCTGTTTCGGCCTTTCCTTGTTTACGTCGTCCAACCTGCTCCCTTTCCCCTTGACAAGGATAGCCATTCATGTTCTTGCCTCAGTGTCCCTTCGGTACACTTTCTTCTGTTTCGTTGGTGATTGTGCCCGCACAGGTAGGGGGGCTTCAAAGAGTTGGCGAATGGCAGATTCCTTTTTGAGGGCAAATAGGAATGGGGTGAAAAGGCTGACTAGCACACCGACCGTAGTGTCTTCTAATGTAGTTTACGGCGACGTGAGCGCAAAGGCAGCGATGGCAGCAGCATTGACTTTTACACGCCTAGACAAGGAGAAGGCAGGATGCTGTGTGCTGAATGTAAGTGTAAGAGGGCGAATGCCACACTATGGGAGTGAGATAACGGCACAGTCAAGTACCGAAGAGAAGGCGTTCGTTGGTAGCACTAGGTAACATGCACCATGAAACGGGCTAGGAGGGAAAAAAGGAGATGGGTTTTGTGAGGCAGAACTCCTTGACTTAGGTTTGTTGGGCCTTAAACATTGAAGGGACAAAAAAGAGCGCCTTATAAGTTTCCATGGTGAAGTTCTTTAGTGTTCATACCACAGAGCCGGGCTGTCAAGTCCGAGGCTGGAAAGAAAATGCGGGGCAACAGCAATGGTACTGGCGACCGCAGTACTCCGAGAAAAAGACCCAAAGACTTTGCCCGCCTTAGATTCCACACCTCAGGCAGTATCCACACTCCAGCGGCTTTCTGGAGAAGGAGCACTCCCGGCCTTACGCATATTCTGTGCAGAAACGCCAGTAGTCACACACAGTCGCGTTTGTCCTGTCTAGAAAAAGAGCGAAGAGCTAAAGGTAACTACCTTTTGGTCCCACTTCGTCCTTCTTTTTCTCGGATGGCGCCCAGCTCTCCAACAAAGATGCAGAGTTTCGGTCGTGCTCCCACCAACCACAGGCAGCGAAACGATGACATCTACGCATGTGCTCTCCGCGGGTCCACAAAAGCATACACAGAGTTTCGTACCCATATGACTGCCGAACGTAGCCATCCGTCACTGCGCGTCGTGGGCAGCAGCAGTGACCATGGGACCACTGACCATTAACTAAACAGCAGCAGCCGCGGTTCTTGACCCTGCTCGAGCAACGATGAAACAACGAAGAAGCTAGCGCAAAGGAGAGAGTAAAAGAGCACTGGCCGCGATGACTCCCGCCAAAATAGCGCTTGAGAAGAGGAACCAGTCGCGCAGTCTACCCCCCCCCCCCCCCAGGCGGCAAAATAAGACTTTGCTTATAGTCGTGAACATTAACACTGGGAGAAGGGAAACAACTAAGGAACGTAGGGGACCTAGCGACAAAGAAAATTTACCATGACTGTAGTTGGCTTCGTAACCTCCGCTAGTGTCACCACAATGTCGTCTATGTGGGAGACGATACTATTATCGACCGAGTTCTACCTTGGTGGCCGTGTATGCCGCATTTTCGTCCAAGTGATGCTGAAAGCGAACGAGTGCTACGTATCCGTCCATGCTTCACGCTCGTTTCGGCTGCTCATCTAAATGAGTCAAGTCATTAAAGGCTTGGTTAGTTAAATGGGTGAGACATGCGGCATGTCGTTCTATATATGATAGCAACGACAAACGCCTAACGAATTGAAGTGGTTAACAGCAAGATTGGTTTTAAAATGGGATTAGATAAATGGTGCAGGAGCCATAATGAATAGGAGATACGAAAACAAACATTTGTATAATAAAAGCTTATGCAAATGTACAACGCTCTGGGCGCTGCGATCGTGACATCAATTGCCAGACAACTCCCTGCTGTTAGGCCTCACATTTATCTAGTAATACTTAAAGCGTCTACAGTTGAAGGTTCACTACATGGATATTATTACAGCTGGCTAAGAAAGACAATACAATGTCAAATATCTCACTTAAAAACAACACAAAGGCATCTAGGCTTATGTCCTTTTACCTTAGGCGTCATATCGGACTCTACATCCCTTAATCACAGAGTCATATTGACATGTACAAATAGTCACTTATTTTGATTTTTCTGTGTTGACAACGCTAAATTAGCTATGGTTATACCTACAAATCCCTGAATGTATTGGTGTTAAAAGCATGTATTCGACCCATAAAGGTCCATATTCATACGTTATTATTGTTCTAGGTTCAACGTGCCATATCCCATGGTGCAGGGTTTCTACTTACAACGCATTGTCAATGCACAAACTAAAGATTTGACCTCGAATTAAAGGTTGTTGACAATTGTACTCCGAATTCGATTAGGGTTTATCTCAGGTCGTTTCAGGTTTTTCTCGACAATGTTTACAATGGACCACCAGTCAGCCCGTGTTTTAGTAGTCTTTTGAGGTCTTTTCTTTGTAAAAGAGGAGCCTCCATTCCAGCCAGTTTAGACGTGTAAGATTATTTCTGAGTAGCTCCTGGCAGTCTTCAATTTGAAAGTGGTTGACGCAGCGAGCCTCACAGAAAATTGTAAGCCTTTCTTTTTCCCTATAAAACCTAGTCTGTCATACAAACAGTGGGTACCTTCGGTACATTTATATGCGCAGCTTAATTTGTCACTAGGGCTATCGCCATTTCTTGCCTTCTGTAAGTAGCTCACCGGTTTGTTCATTGAACAAAAGAAATGTTGAAGAGCAGTATTGGAAAAAGGACTGGAAAAAGGTATTAGTTTTTATGGCTAAATAACGCACATGATTGGCCAGCGGCCATCTTCTAATTCTGCCGGTGTAGAAGGGCCACGATAACTTCGTATCATTATGAACGATGTGATATGCAAACTATATATATAAGATGGTTATAAAACTTAATCCTTTAGGAAGTAAAATATTTCTATTTAAATAGATATATGATATTTGAAATGATCTTATGTGTTCTCCCACTACGGGGTTGTTATCAGTTTCCTTCAGTTTAAATATAGCGCTGCAGTTGAAAGTAATTAGACATAATAGACTGGCTGATCTGAAAGGTTTTTCGGGTCCTAGACGTCCTGGCTGGCTTAGACATAATGTGTTAAATTTGAATTAACTTCCCTTTATCTAATCCGTCGTTTAGCATTAATTACTTAACAATCACCATACGATTTACTTGACAGTCGGCTAGAAAGCCAACCTTGCTAAGATGTACCAACATGTCTTTTGAGCAAAATTTAATTTAACGTTCTTACACATATTCCTGTATGTGCTTAATCGACCGACGGCCTGCTAAAGTGTAATTGCCTGCACCATCTGCTGAAACTAACCCCTATCTACTAATTTAAGCAGAGGGGGTAATTGCCACCATTCATAATATAGCATTAAACGCCATATCTCAGCGCATACTTTCTATAAGACGTCTGTGCCAGTTAGCAGTGGGTCGCATAGTGGCAGAAAAAGCCCCGCTACTCGGTCAGATTACTCAGAAAAGGTCAGGAGGCAGGGGGTTTCAAACCCAGCGAATCAGTACCACTAGCAATCAGCAAAATCAGTACCAGTAATAGCTACAAATGAAAAAATCGGTGACTACAAACGCGGGAGCCGCTGCTTCAGCAGCAGCAAGTAAACGTGGGAGGAAAATATTCCATCCCATAACTCCACTCGGGTGGACAGATTGGCTAAAAATACGTGGCCGACATAATTACGTGGAACGGTCTGGGGACACGTTTATACAGGAGAGTTTTGCTTGCTCTCTGGGTTCGTCGCCTTGTGTACGCCGTTCATGTGGTTCAGGTGATCTGCCTGAAGCGCAGAAGGACGAAGGTCGGTTGCATGGTAAGGTCGTTAAAAAGGGGGGGATGTTAGCAGCGCCAAGGAACACGAAGAAAGGGGGGAGGGTATGTTAGCAAGGATTTGTATAGCGACGTTAGTTGGTCGGACGAATGTCCTATGCTGTGAACCTATGATTAGCGGAGCTCCTGTGAGCAAGGAAGTCGTACAAAATTTTTTGTCGCTTTGATAACCATTGGATCGTTGAATGTTTTTTAAACGCAGGCATAAAATGACGGCACGTATTAGAAGGCCTATTTATGTTGAAGGTTGTGATGTGGGAAAGCCGTTTGAAATGTGCAGCGCCTGAACCCGGCCAATAGATCATTCTAGTAATCAATAATCTAGAATAATTGGCACGAAGTGATTGTTATGGCCTTGAATTAGTGGCGCTTGGCACCCGTAGCGCACGTAAATTTACTTGTCTACTATTACTACATAGTATATAAGCATTTTACCGTAAGTTAATCTATAATTCCGGGGAAATGTTTATTTTCTCCTCTCAACTGGCTCAGTTTTTCCATATCGACTGTTAGTAACCTTTCTGGCGTCAAGGATCGTTGTTGAATTTCTTTGCTGTTTTATGCTATGGTGCTTGCTCGTAAAGTTTTGGTGTAAGTCACAAGAGCAAGATTAACCAGATAAGTTTTTTTAAAAAAAACAAACGTCACGTAAGTGATGTCAACGGAAACTTTTGATTTTTTTATTTCTTGTCTTTAGCAAGAAGTCAATTGTCATTCATGGTCCGTTGCTCTACGTCTAGGTATTTGCCACGATAGTGTGGGCTCTCGAGCAATTTTTTTTTGTTTTCTATTGATTATTGTTATATATTATTTGTTTTCTATATTATATTGTTTTCTATTTGATTTTCTAATCGCATTAGTACCCGCCAAATTAATTCCGTCTCTAATCCTATATCAGTTCCTACTTTCAACTCGGTAACATCCTTTCCTTCCTTATTGTCTTTTTGGTACAAAGCAGTTCGGGGAAGTTCATTATTTACTTATTCTATGACTGCGATAGGCGGGATCCGGTCCGTCCGTCATATTTTCGACACGCGCAGCTATGTACAGTACATACCTCTACCATCTGAAGCGAAGGAAACGTAATTAAGTTGTCATTCCACCGGCTAAGTTGTGCGTTGACTTATCTCGAACTTCTTCCAAAACAATGAATTCTGCAACGATACATAGCTGCAGGCTGTGAACGGCAACCGGACTGACCGGGGTTTATACTCCCATGACAAGCAAAAACAGTTTCCGACGCTGTCACATCCGATCACCTACACACGTCCTGGAGAAGATCGATTACACAAGCTAATTGCAAAGAACAAGATAATTACAGAAGCAAAGAGTTTTCATTTAAAGAAATGTATATGCGGTTTAAGAAACAACTATACAATATATATATAATAACGAAAAAAAAAAAAACATTGAACGTTGATTAACCGTTTAATATTATGGAAAAGTATTTTAATACTATTAGGAAAGCTATGTAAACTCTCGTTCAACTTATATAAGGGCGCCGAGTGGGACAAGGTCCGTTAAACCTCTTTGGTTGTTCCGTTGGGCACTCTTTTTAATAGAATCTGTTCTATAGGTCGGCATTAGGCTGTTGGATGTCATATTAGAGAAACGAACTTGGACCTTCAACTTGTGTTTTTTTAAAATTGAAAGTAGTAACCCCATTTGTATAGTGGCAACAGATTTTCTTTGTGCTGAGGTAATGACTAGTTGGGTCTCTTTACGAGATCTAAATAGCGCAAAGCGTTTACCTAAAAGAAACAGACGGACAAAGTTTCTAGTACTTATTATCGGTTGCTAGATGTGAGCACGCAGAAAAGCGAAGCTTCACTTCGTTTCTAACGAAAAGCCAACTCTATGGAGCGGATGTAAAAGAATGGCCCTTAATTAAAACAAGCTCTTTGGCAATAGCACGTTGACAGACCGCGACATCTCACCATTGACATTGCACCACCCCCTTTCCTTATATTAACTAGCTTCAAAGCAGGTTGATTGCTGCGGGCTGGTTAGTGTTGAAATCATACGCTCAAACAAGGTCTAAGGTTAACTTCGATCAGATATCGAGCTCTGATATTATATGTAGTCTTTTGATAAAAACAAGCTTACTTCTGCATCAAAAGAAATCATTTAGACATGAGAATACGCTCTCACCTTCTATAGAGCGGTTACGTCTAGTAAAGACCAAGCAGGTTACTGCCACAACAGAGAAAACTCCATTTATGGTACAAATAATCTATTCCAAGTAACTTCTTTTGTCGTTCTCCGTCTATTTACCTGTTTATTAAGTTCATTGCTTTGTACAAGTGCATTGTAGAATGCGTGCATGAATTATTGGCGTTGCTGGAAGCTCATAGCTTCGATCGTTCGATTTGTCCTTAAGTGTTGGGAGCCGCCGAGACGTCGTATAAAGGTTGTTTTGATGAAGAGAACAGGCTTTTGAACGACTCTATGAACCCAAAAACAAGAATTATCCATTTTGAGAGAAGGTATGCGCGTTAGACGAAGAGTTTCAAATTGACGGCCACTTTGTCTATGGGCCTAATAGGATTGTCGGTGGTACAAAGTGGTGAAGGAGTACTTCTCAAGCTGTAGTTTACAGTTGCTTTAATAGATGCTGTCTTGGCAGGATTAAAATAGGTTTTTTGGTTATTGTTTTATCTATTATAGGTATGGTATAATTACCTGATATTATGATTATTTCTGTTACGTCTCGAAAGTGTCAAGCGGGTCACGGTAGCAAAATTACATTCAGCCAATAAAATTTCCTTTAATAAAACAGCCAAAAAAAAAAAAGTTTCCTTTTGAGTGAACTATACCAGTGTAACAACGTGTTCTCCACATAATAGCTATATAGCCTAACTATTTCATTATTATATTAATATATGTAACAATATAATTATTAAATATATATATATATATATATATATAATTACGATATGTGGCATTTCTACTGAAAATCATTGGTTTTCCTATTACGATTTTGGCACCGTTGCAGAGATCAACTGTCAGAGCCCGGGTGTGCTATACAACGGCTTCGTAGAGCTTCGGAGCACAAATCTCAATGCAAAAGCCACATTCCACTGCCACAATGGGATGAAATTCGAAGGAGACTCTACCTTTGCCATTTGCATGGAAACAGCCAATTGGTCACATCCACTGCCCAGATGTCTTGGTGAGTATTGTCCTGCTAATGTATTTAGCAGCGTAATGAACGAACCAATAGAATATTTATGTTGCATTATTTCAAGCAAAGAAGCTAATCATGCTATTCCAGGATATGACATATATATTATATGAAACCCTACCTTGCTCGGGCTATAAAGGGCTGTATAGCCCTCCAAGGTCATTTTGAAGGGTTTTCCCTCATAGTGTAACCAACGGAATAGAAATTTTAAAAAAAATATGCATTAATGTTCTTATTGCATCAGGTTAAGCAACGACCGACTCAGTTTTAATAACCACAATATAATGGGCAGTCTCTGGTTGCCGTTGGTGTTCTGTTCTACTACCGAATTTGCAGACAAACCTCTTCGCCCAGAGCCACGTTCATTACGTAAATGAAACGTGATGACCTGTGTTATACTCTAACGCATGTTTTGTCACGATAAGCGAATGAATGATGCAATTCCAGTGGCACCTGATCTGCTTTTTGGGTCGGTTGAAATGCAGATTCAATTTGGGGGCTCAGCGCAGACGTTCGACGCTTAGTTGCTTTCATCATTTCAAAGTTGATGTTTTTCAGACGAACGCCGTGCGTATGTTTCTTATAGTATTCATGTTGACGATGGTTTCCTTCCGGAGGCTCTCCTGCTACACTCCGTTGTGTTCCATCTGCTTCATCAGAGAGTGCCGTTTCCGAATGTGCGCGTAATATGGCGCGCTGGCATACTACCAATGCGCGTCCGTACATTTCAGAGGACATGTGTTTGAAATAAACCGAGCGAAACAAAAACATTGACCGAAATGGACGACGGTTCTTATATACGAAGACTAAACAAGCGACCTGATCCATCACTATAGCAGATGCTTGTGTGCGTTTTTCCATTCATAAGTCTCGCTTGGATGTAGACTTATGCACATCGAAAACCGCATCCTGCCGTCGTTTCTAAGATCGCAAACTTTCAAAGACATTGATCACCTGGACAGATCTATATTTAATTTGAAGGACGACCTCAGCTCAAGAAAGTAGAGTGAACTGAACGTTGAAGTGCCTAATAAGGTTATCTTGAGTTCGCCAGCGTGACCAAGTGGTGATCTCTGCTACCACGGCTACACCAGGACTAGTTCCTGGTTTTCAATCGCGCCAGATGCTTTTCTCGGTATGTGGAAGCGCTGACAGCTCTCACGAACAAACGAAGCTGCTACTACTCCTGGTACAGTCATGTCGATAGTTTGACTAAAATGGCATATTAATGTCTCTTGCTGTACGGTCAATGAACAATGAAACTTCGGTAATCGGTTTAACGAACTGGTTCTGCGAAAATCTTCTATAAAGAGGGTATTCGATAGTGATTTTTGATACGTTTCTCCCACAACGAAGTGCAGTTCAAAGAGTTACTGTGTATGTTCGTGAAGCCAAACTAGTCACAGAAAACGAGTTGCTCTCCCTCTTCCTTCCCAATCTTCGAAAAAACCACTTCTTTGCAGCAGTCTTTACTATTGTTCAGAAGGCCTCATCCGGCCCGACTTCTTTTGCTTTATATGATGTGTTTAGGCTTTCTTTGATTAATGCTAGAGCCCCACGGCGAAGGCATACGCCTACAGTTACTCTAGGGTTCGTCAGCGGTGCCGTCAAATAATGCCGCTTTCCCTCGAATGGCAAAAAGACACAATTGTTTATTCCGTTTGGAGGATAACAACGAATATTGGGTGCCATTTCTCTGGTAATAGCTCTAAATGACAGAAGGTTAGGTTTAGATTTACAGTAGCTCAGCGTATCATGGCTCGAAGCTCAAAACGACCCATGACGGGTTAGGGCTTCGGAGCAGAGTTCTCTACTTGGCCTGCCTATTTGCACTACACTGAATGCTGGGACACTTGTTGCGCGGCGAGGCAGTATTCTCCCCGTTAGAATGTTTTGCCGCTGTTGACTGCCTAGCGTCTGTTGTCATCGTTCTTGCTTCCCTATCTAAGCGGGCGTATATGTGCGGTACGTCACTGGATAAATGAACGCGTTCAACCGTACAGTCCTGGTGGTAGTTCTCAGCCGATTTCCCAAATCCCTCAGGGCAATCCCTGGTTTCCTCAAGCTTATGGGCGAACGATGACGACGTCTGCTACGGGGGTAGGCTATGGTGGCTAGACCGGAATGGGCCGTTGGACTGGGATACAAAGGTCTGAAGTGAAGGCTAAAGTAATCTTCGGACAGGAGGGTACTCCATAGAGAAAAGGATCTTTCTCGGAAACCGACGGGCGGAAAAACACAGTTTAAACTCAAATGGAAGAGAAACAAGAAGCAGTAATAGGTATTATAAAAGGAGGTCTACGATGGCGTGTCGGTCTTCTGCATACTGGAGGAGGAGGAGGCGGGGGGAAGGGGGGAGGGGAGGATGAAAATGATGGGTGAAAAGATGAGTATGGCCGTATAGTGGGAAGATAGTCATTAGCGATTTTTGCTTGTTTTTCTCTTTATCTAGTGTTTAAAGCAGCGAATGATCAGGGCTGGTATCTAACAGTAGATTAGCTCATTGGTGGATTGCGTTTCGTTGCGTACACAACTGAGCCTTTTTGTATTATCGACTCGGATCACGACTTGATTGTGCAAATGACAAGAGGTCCGGTGTCTCAATGAAGCAGACAGACGACGATAACACTGAATAGCAAGCTGTTGCGCTTTCGCCGGTAATCCGGCCGTATTCGACAAAGTTCACTGACCCTCTGTGGTGTGTACTGATTCAATTACAACTTTCTTTTTCTCCATTGGGTCGTTTTGTCGAGAAGACTGCTTCTGCGTTCGCGCCCAGAACACCGCCACACTCATTATTCGGAAACGTCAAATAGAGCTGCTTGGGAACCCTCTCGTGAGCTCAAATAGTTTGCCTGACCAATACAGCGGAGACACGTCTTAATCAATTGCATTCCGAGACATTTCCAGAGAACTCGGACGGTGGTTAGGGCTACTTACTGTACTAAACGTATTAGCTTAGTGTATAGCAGTAGTCTATGCTGCAATATATTTAGTAGCCGAGCTTGGAAAGCCGGCTAGAGTCAGTGTCGAATATCTCATCCGACCAACTGGTCCTTCGAAAGGTCGTTTTATATTCATTGGGAACGATAAGCTAACCTGAGCCTGATGTACTCCTCATCACGCAACGGAAATGGGTTAGCCTTGCCGAATGGACCACGCACATTCTCATTTTTCTATCAACAGCCTCTTGGTCTGCTGAATGGACTACAATCGCTGTCCTTCATCACGAGTGCTAGGCTCTCCATAGTAAGGAAAACCTGTGAAGTCATGGCCGACCACCATTTCATGTATATCGCTGATATTGCAGGCTGAAGAAGCTGCAGACGGTGGCTTGATCTCCAACATCTTTGACATCGTAAGCCTAGGAGCCTCACAGTTTTGTAACAGTTAAGGCAACTATGTATCGAGACAACTTGGCAGTGGTCACTCATCCGCGCTTACAACTACGGGCCTGAGAGAAGCTCGCTACGCGGGAAGCGCTAGCGGAAAGCGAAATTTCTTCGCTCTATCACAGACAAGCATCAGTTTAGACATTATCATTATACGTAGAATTATCGCTTCAACTAGCTCACGCTATGATATATGTATTCGACTGCCTGCGCATGCAATATAATATTATATAAAATAAGACCCAATAATTTTGGACTGCGTTTGTCTGCACTTGTTCACTTCTTCCCCTTCCTTAAAGGTGGCCGATTTTAGCGAAGGGAGAATATTTGATCTTAGATGCAGTTATCCTTAATATTATATTATTAAGAATATATATGTATAAGATTGCTTTTTTAATATCACATTTAACATAGTCTTACAAACGCCACATCAAAATTTACTTCGTCCGGCATACCTAAGTACTTCCGTCATATAAACACGCTATTATTTTCTATCTTAGTCAGGTAATTATAGAGACTTTTCTCTCTCTCTACAGGGAATTCGCTGCGCTATTCCATTTTTTTTGGGTCGCGGAAAACTTCCGACTCGTTGTTCGATTCATATGTAGCTACCGAAGGGCTATAGCTTTCGACAGTTGTTTGATACTGTCTCCGGTTACTTGTTTAGCTCTATAGAACGTTGCCATATTACTGTTTTGAGCAATCGCGGATCGGTGTTTGCGATAAGCTGTTTCTATGAAAAATACAAATCTACTTTTGAAAGCACTACTCGCTGGTTTACAGGAAGGGAAATAGAGCGTATAGTGTAAGGATCTAAGCAGGCTATTCCCTGTTCTATTTTCCCTCTTTCTTGCAATGTCTGACGCCACCGTTGTTGTCTCGTCACGAACTTTTTGTTTTTATCCAACCTCTTAAATACTCAACATAGGTAGGGCTATTTTTTCTGCAACCGTTTTGTCATCAGATCAGAGTCATTCTGTATCCGAGGCAGAAGGATTGAACCCTTCGATCGAAAGTACAAAAGTACTTTTAATTACGCCCTGGTCACTCAACATCAGAATATCTAAGCACAGTCTCCTCTGTCTAGTTTCGTTTTCCAGGTGACTGATAGAGAAACTAACAGCGCTAAAGAGGCGATCAATATTACAATAAGAATAAACATAGTTGGGCGATTCTAACTTAAATAATACCTCGAAATCCAATATCTAAGATTTGTTGTTAACGGCGACGGAGAAGTGAAGTAAGACAGCCAGATAGTCGATGTAACGGTTTCCTCTAAAAATATCTTTTTAAAAAAGACATCTTTTAGAGTAAAAAAAAGCAAAAACTAAGAAGAGTAATACTATGATAATTAACAACAGCATCTCATAGTTCCACACGCGTCTTCCGGTAACGCTCAACGAAGATCCTGGTTGACGGATAAGACGGATAAGACTTTACTTTACCCTAACTGCAACAAAAAGGAGGATTTTAGTTAAAAAAAAAAATTAGGAAATAACAAAAACACTCATCACGGTTGCTATACTCCTTCGCTGCGAGAGATTGTTACCACGAACTAGGAAGGCAATGTAGAAATATGTTACACAACAACCGTTCTTAAATAAAAGTAATAGTAGCTGGTGGGGAAGCGGATGTGCACAGCCGTTAAAGGGTCAACCACAGCGAAAGGTAGGCCTTTTCGAAGCATTTTATATGATATATATTGAGACACGAATATTAAGGCGCTCATTCTAGTAAAATCACTCTAATGCATTCTATATTTCCTGCTTCGTGGGTATCGACCTTGTTTGTTAATGGATTTTTTCTGCTAATACATGTCACATGCTGAGACCGGTATCCGCACTTGACGCTTTCGTTAGCTTCCTTCTTTCGATACCACTGTGCGACAGCAAAGACGCCATCGAGGCAAAAAGCGCGTTTCTTTTAGGTGCCTAACTGAGATTTGCTTGTTGACATCTGTCGTAATTTTCCCCTTCACCTTGGGCCAACTATAGCCGAAACTGCTTCGTTGCATCACTCTATGCTACCCCATAACGAATGACTTTCCGTCCTTTTCTCTCCTTACACATTGACCCGTTCTCTCACTGTTATAGTCGTTCAATCGGCGGCTTCCGTTTGCCGCCACTCGCAGAGCGCTTGGCAAAGCCAGCGTGGAGTGCGAATTTCTAGGCTGCTAGGATGTCGCAGTGCCGTTTGCGTACGGGCTTCCCTTCCGGGATCCATATAGCACTAATACTAGAAGATTACACGTAGCTCTGTCTCCCCGTGATATCCACGTTCTCTCGCTCCCTACTATCTGTCTTTTTCCCTACTTGTCCGCCTCACTTTGTCTTGCTCACTCGCCTTCACTAGGATGGTTTTCCTTAGCTCCATCCTGCGGAACTCCTGGCGACAAGCAAAGCTGCTGTCGAATAAGTTCCGCAGGTACTTTTTTCGCTCGGAGATATAACCGTAAACACTTGCCGTGCCACGCTACAGAATACCTCGTATTGTCTAATACTTCCTAGAGTCCGTAACTCTCCGTGCTGACAAATGTACCGAACAAACGATTACCGATCAAAGTTTTTGCAGACGTATCTGACATCTTTTATAGCTCTTGGATTTCTATCTATGAGTTTTTAGGCTGTGTCTCTAAACTATATTTGCCAGTCGATCGAAAAGTATTAAAAAGTTGCGCATGTTAACCATTCAGTCAGCTTGTTGTCAGATTTTTTTAAATAAGTCATCAAAGTTAATTTTATTTCGTCTGAAAGGCCAAATTAAGGTTTGACTTTTGATTCTCCTCACCCTAATGATATCGATGCTGAATTTCCTCGGAGAGGGTCCTCTATAGGCTCACTGCATAATCCCGGTACAGTTAGCGCTAGACAAGGCCGTTTTGTTGTTACGTATCTTGTTTACGACAGGAATTAGTAACCTGGAGATTACTAATCCCTGTCATAAAAACCACAATCAGACAAATCGGGTATTCTTGCGAGCAAAAAGACCTGGATCACATTCAACTCGTTCTAGTGCGAAACTTTCCGTGTTGGACTCGGCTGGAGTTCCCACAACAAATCAATTCACGGTTAATTAAACGACTTTAATTAAAGTCGTTTGTGAGTCGATAGAAACAATCACTCAATCATAAAGTGTCGATAAGATCTGCAGTGATTTTATTCACCGTTTGTGAGTCATAGCGAATATCTCGCACTACGAGATCCGTTAGATCAGAAGTTGTAGATGTTATATATGTATATCTATGCTTAGCTAAGTATAATGTCTATACAGATGATGTCATTCGTTAAAACTTTTCCTGTATCGTCGTATTAAATAGAAATAGTACAAGCAATGACCTCTAGACTACTGGGTAATGTCATCTCTCCAAAGCAAACGCAAAAAACTTCCCTAGTTCTTCGATGCAATCTATACCGCCATTATACGTGACTTCAGATCCTGAAATGAGCTATATAATCGTAGGGGTGCGAATTGCTAAGCCCAGAATGAAAAGCTATACATGGATGCAAATGTCTTAAATGTGGCCGTAAACAGTTATAACATTTCCATTTATACAATATCTCCAGAAATCTTATTAATTTTGTATTATGTTAATGCTGATAACGTAGCAGCAGCAGCAGCAGCAGCACATATAATTCGTATCTTTGACGAAAAACACATCAAACTGTTGATAATAGATGTTTAAACAAAAAAAAACGATATTTTCCATAACTACTTGGTCGGCAGTCTAAAGGGGTAGAATGATCTACAATACTACTTTTATCGACAGATCCAGTGGCCTTGGGCTATTGACATGGAAGTAATTCCGGGAAATATCTCCCTTTTAAGAGCCTGCGGGCAGCTATTCGATGGTCGGTTAGTTGGTTGGCGAAATCCTGTACGTACGTCACCATGGTAACTTTGCCTATATTTTCCACTTTGCTACTGTCCATTGAAGGTAATAAGTGTTCGTGTCATAGACGACTGCGTGTGTATGGGCAGCCGTGTGTAATGTCTGTTGTAAACGACATAAAGTCAACATAGGATGGAAAAGCTGGACAAGAGTTCAATACATCCAGTATGTAATGCTTAGTCACAGCCGACAATCTGACGTACAGAGGCGCCCATGCTCTGAGTGCCTCTGCTCTGGGGAGTTAGTACTAACAGCACATAATCATACTGTTAATTAGCAGTTCAGAAATTGGCTCTGGCCAAAAGCATGAAAAGGTTGGTTTGCCAGCAGTCCAATGTTCCTCGACTCATATTGATAATCAGCGGTCTACAAATATGCATTGGCTCAGTTTATCTAGCTAATAAAATGCGGGTTGAAGAAAAGTTGTGTATAGTGCATTAACTTACATCAGCTTTGATGAGCAGAAAGAGTACCGTAAACTGGGGGTGGCTTCGGTAGAGCCCATTCTGAGGTAACCTGAAAGCCCCTCAATGTATTTATGTCTTTTCTGATATTATGTGGACTGCAAGTTTTTCGATTCGAGGTATACGACGAACTCGAGCCCAGTTCTTCACGATACCAATCGTTCAAGTTTTCCTTTCGGCCTTTGCCCGTAGATCCGGCCTTATGTTCATGAAATTTTCTGTATTCTGCAAAGTGCACTTCTTCCAATGGAGGTATAGTCGTATATCGTTATCTTCTGTTCAGCTGTAACCATTATCAGTGATACCCATAAAAAGTAATGGCTGCGCGTTTTTTTTTTATAGATGAAACCGAATTTATACTGGAATCAAAGTAGACGAACTGTTATTGCGCTGCATCTGGTCCTAGATGGTCTCGGTCAACTTTTTAGACTTGTAGATTTGTATTGTGGTATTAGCTAGTCTGCCGGACTATCGGGAATAGGTTTTGGATACCGCTAGTGAAAGAGACGAGTTAGCCCGATGATGGCAAATTAGGAGGACCTGGTAAACAAAGCATTCTTCCAGCAAACCGGTCAATGGGATTCATCGGCACCTAATTAGAACTAAACACAGTGTGTGCGATGGCCTAACAATATAGATAGACCCATATATAGTTCAGCATACCTTCGGAACACTTAAAATATGAGAAAAAAAAACACTCAAGCAATCCTGAGTCTATAATTCTGCATATGAGTAGCATAGCAGTACGCTGGCTAACATCTAGAAACAACTATTGTTTTATTGACGTGTATATTGCGCATGTACGTATTCATTTTCTGTAAACTGTTTCGATATTATTAGCGACTTAGCCGTTGGCCAGGGGCATTTTTTCAGCTGGCCTGGCAATTTGTGTGGTCCGTTGCAATGTTAGCCTGTTAGGGGATATACCTATCTCTCGTCGACGGCAATTCATTATAGTGATTTTAGAGTTTAATCTAAACCCCTAATTTGTGTTTTCAACATTTCGGTAAGTAAGTTTGCTGGCCTTGTTGGTACTCTCAAGGTTCGCGACCGCCTGCTTCTGAAAAAGATCGTACATAATCGAACGACATGTCGAGTCCATATCTATTGATTTATATCAGTTTTTATATGCCATGTTTTTGCCAAACAGCTTTAGCCATTCATATCAACAATTTATATTTGTGGTTTTATTTGTTTAAATATTTATTAAAATTTGTTTGTGGTTTGGGAACCATTGCTACAGCAGACGACAAATCATATAGCCTATCTTGTCGTCGTCGTCGTCGTCGTTGTTGTTGTCCAGTTGACCTGCTGAATTTGGAGTAAGCTAGAGAACCCTGTATCGTTGAAAGGCGATGGCTTTTTTCGAAAAACAAAAACATCGACAAAACAGAAAGTCTAGCGATACTGTCGCGAAGGAAAATTTCTCTGACAACCCTTTTGTCTTCCTCCTGAAGCGTTTCGGTCCTTTCCTGTCGTCTCGCAGTCTGATAGAACTTCTGCCAACCTGAACCCAAAATTAGCTATACTGTATTTTACCGACTATCCCTTATATCATGCTACTGTGCGATAGCTGGATCGCCGCTGTCCACAGTCATTCTGCCCCTTCAAGCGTGTCGTGAAATCTCTGGAGCAGGCCAAATGTGTGGGTTATAGTATACGATGTTGTTGTAACTAACAGGTGCACTAAAATGATTGGTACGAAGGTGTTCGATCCTACATTTTGTCGCAGTCCCATGAATATTGATGGGTTATTAAAAGCAATGTTTGAATGTAACTCCTTAATGTTGTTTCAAAAGTGCCTTCCGGCTAGGCCAGACGGCCCACGACACGTTACAAAATACCTGAGACATAATAAAATGGTCTAACAACAAATTTATACAGACGTATATTTTAGAAGGTCCCTAAAGTAAGTCCCTTAAAGGTTTTATGCTCTTAAATGTCTACACAGCTTCCAATGCGCGCAGGTATTTCTTACTGCACTTATATATGCTCAAGGTATATAGCAAAAAGACGTACGTGCGTTTACTAAGGATGATTTAACAGTTCAATAGCAGCCGTAACAAGTTTCGCATGCGTAGTAATGTATTTTTGTTAATGTTCATTTGTTCAGCTCCGTGCAAAACCCCAACGGTAGAGAACGGCCGGGTAGTCTCGCTTGCGCCGTCGTCCCTTCTCGAGCACGGCCAGTCGCTGAATGTGACTTGTACTGAGAACCACGAACTTAGCAGCAATCTCTCACAGCTTTTGCAACAACAACAACAACCCATCTGCAATAATGGAACATGGACGCATCTGCCCCGATGCGTTCCTGCCAGGTACGTCGCTCTATAGTTCCCTTTCAATCATAATAATAATAATAATAGATTTGATCAATGTAAATATCACTCCTGATCTGACAGTAAGTTAACCAAAGACGTGATACGCGCAAGATATTTAGACGAAGTTAAAGTGGATATTTCTCAAAAGCTCTATTACGAATGATTAGAGCATTTTCAGGGTTTAAAATCTAAGATGTCGAATTAATGCTCTATTGACCAACTCTATGGGGAGTAAAGCGGATAGCTAAAACAGTTGTTGCGCCAACAAAGGATCAAGGAAGAAAAGATGCAGTCGGTTGGCATGCTACCCCAGTTCCCCACAGGTTAACAGGTAAATGATAGTCTTTCGTTCCGTACAGGCGAACAACAGTCTCGCGATTCAAGGGCCTACAGGTCTGTACTGTTATTCGAATTGATGTCAAGGCGTTTCTACAACTAGATCGTTTTCCCTCTAATTGAGATTTTCTCTAATTCAAAAGCGATTCTGTCGTATTTCTCGTCGATTCGGTAAATTGTAGTGTAGAGGTCGGGAATACAAGAGAAAGGGTCGACCTTCGAGTATAACAAAGATGACATTGGAATAGTATGTTGTACAGCTGCTTTGCAGCCAGCTAAAATTAAGCCAAATTTGCAAACTGGGCTCAGATAAAATCGTCTGGATCGAGTATAGAAGCAACGTACAGAGAGCTTATTCGATCACGGCCGTCGATGCCTATAGGGGTATAGCATGCAGCTATCGAAATACCGTCTGTACGCTAACTTTAGCGTTTAATAAACGGGCAGGAACTCAAACACCTATGGGAAGTTAATAGGAACATTTAAGGTCGGACAATAGGAGAAATCTGTATTTTATTTGAAGAAATTTATAACGCTTGATAAGTACAGCGTTTCATGGCGCGTAAATCAATACGTTTTGCATGCTTCTTTTCGTCCCTTTTCACTTTAATACCACTACCTTCCCAATTGGATTTACTGTCAATTCGCATCGGACAGTAGGTTAGGGGATGGCGGACTTCAGACACGTGCATCAGGGAAAGATCTTATAAGAGAAATGCTGATGCTTGGTTTATTTAATGCATTAAACCACAACCCTAGTGATCTTACCTGGACGGTGCTATAATACTACTTTGGCTTGGTACCATGTGATTTTTATTGGGGGCTCCAATTTACATTTACATGGACGAGAATTTGTGCAGGGTCGCTGGCAATCGCTGACGCGTAATGCGGTTGTGTAAACGACGGGGCACGTGAAGCCGAAGCCATGTTAAGAGCAAATCGCTATTAGGACAGACTATTTCTTCGACGGACGTTGAAGTAAGAAAAATAATTAAGGAAAGATATTTTTAGGTTAACTAAAATAAACATTCCGATTCGCTATAAAGACTAGGTCACAAGAACTTAAGCTGTTTGGCTTGCTCCAACCGATGTCGCTAGCGAACGAAGCCGGCTCATGCGTGCTCATTCGTAAGATTTATAGCATGGTTTAAGGATAACGGTTTCTGTTGGTAGCCTCTAGGCTAACTACGAATTTTGATGTTGCCTTCTGTCGCGGATTCGAAAATCTGGCGGCGCTGGTAAGGAATAATGTCCAAAATCAGCGACAAATAGAACACCCTCTGCCTTCCTCCTCCATGGCCAATTCATCCCGGTATCCCGGTATTTTTATCATTGCTTTGCCATTTAAAGAAGTGTTCAAACACAAACATGAGCTTTTGTATTCGACTTTGAAGTCTGTTGGCGCATCTATACCTGCTGATCTCCGCCGTAGTCTAGCCTCTCGTTTTACCCCACGCCCCCTGTTTGTGTTCGTGCTGTACTTCTAGTGGGTAAAGTGGACATTGGAAGTGGCTTTGTCTACGATGAATTCATCTTCTCCAACAAGTCCCAGCAGCACTAGCATGTACTCGAATTCGGCACCTTAGAGAGAAAGGTGAAGTAAGGAGCGTCTGCTTCTGAGGTCAACTACTGAAGTGTCTGCTGCTTGAAGTGGCACACAGTGAATCTTGTTGTTGTTCCAGGAGGAGAAGATAGACGGGGCTAAGATAACTAACTCGACATTTGCAAGCGTTTCTTTGCTTTCCCTAGTCGAAAAACCTCGTCGTATATGGCAGGAGATCATTTTCGGGTAACACCTAGCTATCTCATGTATTCGAGTTCCATATTGATATCCATCACGAATTTAATGTTGTCTTACTTTACGATTTCTGATTTACTATCGGCAGAACGATTGATAACTTGAAAGTCCAGACTGTTGGGTTCTGTTTCGTTTCAAAGCTGAGTATCGAGGCTAACACCAGAAGTGGTGATTGGATTCCGGATCGTTCTTTTATTTGTTCCAGATTCAAATTGTTCTTCGACCCAACATGGAACAGACGTGCGCCGATTGTGTCAAAGAAAAAGATGGAGCAAAATCAAAGGAAAAGGCGGACCCAAATGCGCGGAAAACAAACAGATAGCAGGAATACATATAGTGTTTTGGTAACATGTTCGATCCAAAACTCATCGTCACTTCTTTGTTACTTTCAATTAAGTCTAGATGCTTAGAGATAACATAAAATTTACGTGCAGTGTGGCGGTTTCCTTCTCTCTCCGAAGACTAAATATTATTTCGTGGTTAACAGGATGAACCTCATGCGGCGACGAGTTAGGGAAACTTGTCTTCATCTGTAATGTTGATTACCTTAAAAGTATCGAGTCATTCATTTGATGTTTAACCGTCTGCCGCAGTTTCAAATTGTCTGACGCCGTATTTCGCGGCGCAAGCTTTGTTCTCATCGTTGAGTCGCAACTCTCAGTTTTATTGAAGTCAATACGACAGTCGCCAATTGTCCGTTAGAGGCGACTAGCTGTTCTGAAGGATTTTCTGACTTGGAACTTTGCGCGTTAGTAACGCCAACTTTAGGTTTTAAGATTTGCAATGTACCCTGAAAGATTCGAAAAGAATAGACGAAAATATGAAAGAAGTACGCTCTTTCTTGAAATTCCCATTTTAGGCGTCTTTGAACTACCCGAAGTACCTTTTTCCGCCCCATTGTCAGGTTAGATACCACAACATCAGTGCTTGTGGCCTAGCCTCAACAGACCAGCAGCGTGTTTCCGTAAACAAACATTGCCCAGACATACTATAGACTAAATATTGAATTTGAGCTCCTTGTAATTTTTCAAGATGAACGATTGTGTTGACACGCCGCTCAACTCAACAACCAGTTGCCATTAGTTAGACTTTGGGAAACTTGCAATGGTGATTCGAGCTACGATTTTCCATTACAGGCACAGCATTAATTAAAAAAAAAAACAAAAGAACTAGGAATAGCACAAATCATAAACGAAGCAAAGTAGGTGAAACGAGGATAAATACGGTTTGTTACATTTTTTCACAGGCCCTCCCTGCAACTACCTGCCGGCCGAAAGCTATAGATCTACTTAATTACAATATATTCTTTTCTGTTATATTGGAATACCATTTTTATATGTTACATTTATTCCTGCTTCCTTAGAATATTCTCGTTGATAATAGGCATATCAGCTGCATAATTGAATTGCCACTCAGTAATTTATTGATATTATCTAAAGTACGCTGTTTCTGCTAACGTAATTTTTGATGTTACGCTCGAAAATTAGAAAAATTATCCAATCCAACACTATTTTGCCGAGCACGCTGATCGCTGATTCAATCGATATGTTCATCCATAAAAAAAAAAAAGAAAAAAAAAGAAGAATGGAATAGCTATTATTACTTTGTTTACAATATGCAGATGCATGAAATCTTGGAACTTCAGATTCGATCTGTATTAACGCTGTAATCGAGAGGACCTTTGTTCTCTTAGTTCCACAATAGCCACTGTTGGGCAGGACAACCCTAACATAGATACGTATAAGTCAACGCCGGCACGTAACATGTGGCTATGCTATATTTTTAAGACCACAAGCTTCTGGGAACCAGCTTAGCCATTGGATTAACAGAAAAGCTGAAGCTAGTCTTTAGGTCGTCGAGAGGCTAGGAAAGTCGATTTTCTATTGAACTATTCATAAGAGTTGTGCGTATTGACGGATCATTAAGCTCCTCTGGAGGGTAAAGAATTGCTTTGGATGTTGCGCATCAAAGCAAACATCTTCGGAGAAACTATGTAGAAACAGAGGCCTAGGCAGACGCTTGTTTTGATCATAGCTTCAAGGAACAGTGAGACTTTTCCATTGCTCTGTTGATAGTAAGGACGCAGCCAGGAATGGCCCCTGCCGGACCCGTTCCACGTTCCGATAATCTCACCTGCTTCGCATTTGCATTTACGCCGCGGTGGAACTCATCAATAATGGCGACACTACACGTGGATAAGTATCAGAGACAATCCTGAGAGGCAGAATACGTTACGACTCCACAATTCCGCTCAGAGCATATCAGCGGCTGATGTGTCAGCGACTCGTATTGCCAGAGGCAATTCAATGTACAAGCAAATCCATCGTGCACAAATATCTAATAGACTCACTTCAGACATTCTGTCGAAAATTCTTTTCAGAAAGATCTATCAGTGTAGATCCGCCCATTCCTGCTGTATCCGAAAAACCGTCTGCACGCTGTTCGCACTGCTGCCTTCATTTAAGTCTGTCAAGCAGTTTGTATTCTTTAAGTAACCTTAGATAACTTGAGGTATCACATTTAAGTAACCAGCCATAGATAAATTAAAATTGTAACAAAGCGATTGTGAAAGCCAATGATGTCCACTTATTTGTGGGCTTCTCTCATAAAGGAATTATACATTTAGCAATAATTGCATGGAAAATTAATGTTTTAACACTGTTGACGTGTTCTTACAACGTCTTTGATTTTCATTTATACATGTTGTTGTTGTTGTCTCACAACTTCCGGTCTGGGATAGTGCTGTGGGGTGCCAGGCATCCTTTTCTTGATATATATACAAATTCTAGAAACTGAGCTGGCTGCTAAATGTTACTATTCTAATGTGAAAATTGTCTGTTTTGAATCGTACGCTTCCTGATCACACAGGTGCAAAGACCTTCCGCCACGACCTGCTAACGGGATTGTTATCGCTCCGAAAACAGAACACGGAATGAAAGCCCTTTTTCAATGCGACGACGGCTTCGATCTGCTCGGTCCCAATACGACAACTTGCCACTTCGGCAATTGGACAAACCCCACTCCGCTATGCAAAGAAGGTATTATTCAGTCAGACAAAAGATGATACAAATGCTGTTTGAACAAAGACACGAGGTGTCGTCATAAATACGAGATTCTTTTGTATGTCTTTATGTCGTATATGCTATTTTGATTTACTGATACACATCTATTGTGCGTTCGCGCCTTTTGACCAGCGACGTTCTAGGCGTTCACCGTGCATGAGCATTAACTGTTAGCATTATTAACATAATTAACACTGTGTTATTACTATCATTAAATCAATGTAGAGTGTTTTTTCCTTCTGGTGACATATGCTTGTGTGACGAAACGTTTTTGCTGCGCTTATATGTCCCTGCACCATTTAGGGCACCATTCGTTTGCTATATTTCATTGAGTCAACGAATACGAGAGGCGTTTGAATCTAACGATGTTTGAAAAAATGCCGAAAACTGTATTATACAATAGCAAAATACTGTGACTATAGGGTAACAGCACTTCCATAGGCGCTTACCAAAACGTATTGATGTTGACGCTGGATTCGGAACGGGCCTGGAACGGGCTTTTTTCCAAGCCCCGTCCCAGGCGCGAGTACTTGAATAAATGCTATTGCACTTAGCTTCTATTAGGTCTCAGCTTTGCATCAGAAAAAAAGACCTTTGACCTACTAAAGCTCTGCCATCAATTGACATTGTAATTACTATTGCTTGAAGGTTTTCGGGAAACCAATACCAGTGGTTTGAGACCCGCGTACCTCTAACCATGAAATATTCTTTTTGCTCAGCTAACGGTCCTGTACATCGCGTGCGAGTAACAAAGCAAAATTATACTTATGTGATAAAGCGCCTTTTTTTGGTAAGGTTTAGCTGGGGCCCTGAGCACTTTGTTTTGCAGTAAATCGATATGAAGATGAATGCCTGCGAGCCTGGCGCAACGTGGTCAATTACTACGCACCTTACGGCCTTACTATTACAGTTTATACTTATTTTCAACTGACAAAAGCTGGGGTGTAGTTTGTTATTAAATGTGTATGCTTTTTACTATAATGCAAAATGCAAATCGTCATAGATAAAATGTCGGACGTCCAACCAGTTTCTTCCCTACAACTCTTCTCTTATCTTCAATAATACATCGAATACAGTATTTATGGTTCAATACATATCGCCTTTCCGATACAAAGTTCCCTTTTACTTTTATCGTAAATGTTTAATCGAATACTTTTACCAAGTACTAAATACGGATCGAAATTTAAGCCCATTTACAGTTCCGCCTCCCTCGTACAGAAAAGTACGTTTTTTTTCTTAATAAGGTGTTTAATTGAATACGCAAGTAAATAAAGTCAACCAGTTATTTAGTTACGTATATGTGCCTAAACATGGATAAAGGTTAATTTTTCACTTCTAACTTGTGATTGAAAAAATACTGGATACAGATTCATGGGTCTGCCCTTATTAGTTGAAAACATCTATAGGGGATTTATAAATTTGCCGTCATCAATGGAGGCATCTGTAGTTTAATTTACTTAATTACGAAAAAGCCAGAGACCGCTGCTTCCAAGTCTCGCTAACGACATACGATAACTGTGTTTAATACCGTTCGTCCCACTGTTGCAGTTATCATTCGATCGCAAAGTAACGTCGATCACGAGATGGAATCGGCGCACGGACTGCAGGCTGTTAGACGGTTGAGCGGTGAGGGATATTGAGGTTGGCAGTAATGTCGAAGGGGCGAGAATAAGAAATCGGCCTACAGGCGAAGCGGTGAAGTAATGTGGGATAAGCAGTGACCATTGCTTCTTGACGATGTCCAACTGAGCCATACTCTACTGCTGCTATTGATGCGGCAACTGTACCCGACAATACTGGGTTAGACAGCGACGACCTCATTTCAGTTCAAAGCGACCGAGACGCCTAGCGACCCATTCTATTGAGCTACCTCAAGCTTAATAGCAGGAAACATTGCTATAGCAGACATTGCTACAGGGTTAGGACTAAATCGTACAGCGCACTAGCGTGGTCACTTGCTTAGAGAAAAACTACGCGAAATTGGTTCTGCCTTATTGTGAACATAATCGTTCTGCTTCGACGGGAACAGGGGCGTTGAGTTAACGGTAGTTTTGGGGATCGCATGGGTGTTTCACGGAGTTCCACACCGCTTGATATAGAATACGCATGCGTGCAATGGACGCCTACAAATCCTTTGGTCGTAAGCTCAAAGGCCAGCGTCTGTGGGGAAAATCTCGTCTATGAACTGTGCTGAAAAATCGCACACCATTGAAAACCAAAGCAAAGTTTGGCCACGGGAGGGCGTGGGGGGGAGGGGGGCTATTTGGTGCAAAGGGACTACCTCCATTTAAGTCGAGATTAGCCTAAATCCGAGCGTGGGCCGACCAAGCTCTTATAGCCGGCGGCATAAATGTATCCACGATGCGGTCCTTGCCAATGTTGGATCGTGGGTCGTGCAAGGCTAAGAATGGTATTTAGCAACAATACGCACAACGACTCACTCTCTGTCGGTAATCGGCGCGTCGGTATATTCGCCATTCATAGCAACAACGCAGTGCGCTATTTGTCATGACTCGCCAATAGCACCGCTGGATAGTGTAGCAGGGAGTCGTTGAGGTCCCGTAGACCATTCTGCTGATGTCAGTGAAATTAGTTACTGAAGGCACTTGCTTATTCCTGCTTACTCGGATTGATGCTCACCTTCCAGCCAATGGTTCGCATTTTTGGTTAAAGGAGTAGAGAGGGGCGCACTTCTAGGGATTTTCTTCGCAAGCTTATTTACGTTGCAATAGCGAATAAACTCTAGCCCATATCACCTTGTCTGGGAAACAGCACGCCATTAGTTGGCGTTCCGTCGTGTTAACATTGGTTAATTCCAATACTGAGCTATTAGACCCAAAGTTTCGGCTGATTTTAGCACGATTAGTTGTATCCGTCCCGAACTGGTTCGATATAGCGTGCTTCCGCTGAGGGTCACCCATCGATCTTCCTGCCGCACTCCTATTCCACCCTTAGAATCTCTTGGCGTACGAGTCGATTCTAGCCACTGTGATGAAATGAACGGAAGTAGCCGATTCCACGATTCTTCAGGCGCTTGCAAGGGAGACGCTTAGTTTGATCCCCAGCTAACCTAGTAGTGCTTGTTTAGCGCTCACAAACCGTTCAAAGCCTGTTCCCCCTGTAGTGCCAAAGAACGGCAGCCGGTCCCCTTTGGGGGAAGGTGTATGACCACATTAGCTGGGGAGAACGAGCGCTCCACGGTCATTCGCTCTGATCCTATATCTTCTGGTTCAACATATTTTCAACTGCTAGGTGATTTTTGCCTCACTCTGTGTACATATAAACATATATAGGGTTGCTTACAGTGACCATCAGGATAGTGGCCTATCATAGACCGCCTACAGCGTGACACGAAATAATGCGCAATGCTAATTAATTACTTCTACACGGTGGTTATTTTTCTGTAAAAAAAAAAAAACAATTTTTCAAAGTGATAAACTAAAACAAGTTGAGTATTAACTGACTCAATCATATCAATCATAGTATTTGACTGTTTTTAATATCTTACATCGCGCTCAACAGATGTTTCGGGTCACTAAAATAAGCTACTAAGCACCCCCTATGTACATCGATGGCTGAATCATTTCAAAATGTCAATCCGCGTAATAAATCAAGGGATCAGTAGTTAAGTCTTATACTGATTATATTATATTGTATTATATAGACAGTGGTCGCGCTGTGAATACTGGGTTGTGACAATAATTACTTATAGATCTATTATATATATTATATATTATTGACCAAACGCAAGCCCGATTCACACACTTAACACATCTTGCCGGCTCTGCCCTGAGCGACGAGACTGACTCTAATCATATGTTACGTTTGCCTTCGGTTCTTTTTCTAGTCTACTGCCCATATCCAGGCGCCATTGAGCATGGTCGCGTGCTTCTCGTCGGCAACATGGGCATGTACGACTATCGGCCTTACGTGCGCCGAGTACGTAACAACCGTCAGATCACGTTCGAGTGCAAACGCGGTTACGTGCTTGAGCACAACGCTCCGGCAGGAGCGACATGCGTAGACGGTATCTGGAGCCCCACGCAACTTCCGCACTGCGTACCAGGTAAGCAAAGTAAAAAACAAACTATCAGCTACCGGCGAGTTTGCTGTCTACGTAAATAGTGGCAACGGTTGTCGATCAGGCGACAAGGAATAGTTGGTTCGTCACTGTGACCTACAACTTTGACTTTATTGTCGACGAAGCTGTGCCTGTGGAAACAGATTACAATAGAAGGAGAGGTGTGGATCTTGCAAGCCGAAAGTAAAGCTGTTTTCGCTTGAGCAACTATCAAAGAGACCTGCTACTTCGCAGAAATATTTCGCGCCAATCGGATGAAAATGTCCTTGACCTAGATTAACCGAAGCCACACAATTATAAGTAGGTAAAATCAAATGGTTACCATAAACGTCGTGGTAGAAGAGGTTGCACTGAACCTTCGATAAAACCAGGAGCTCTAATTTGGGCCACTCTGTCAATCACTAGAGCCTTGACTATGCGGTTCTGCTTAGAAAATCGGAGGAACGTACGATGCACGTTGGTAATAGATTCAGCGGCGGGTCAGGTAGTGGTGAAATTCATCTTGGTTCGTTGTAAGTATCTTCGACTTGTTCTAGAAACTGCGTGAGTGCTTGCATTTAATAATTAATGCATCTACCTTGTGTGCTTTACATCGTTCATGCTTTACAAGCGTTCATGTATAGTTAGGGCTAATATATACTAACCTAAGGGACCCATCAAAGTGGGATGTGCGGCAGCACTGTCTGTAAAACGATGAAATGGAAACCAATTGCAGTGTCGTCCTTAACAACTAGGGTACACTAAATTAAAAAGTACGTCCGTAGTACGTCAAGTAGCTATCTTAAGTCGTTTGTTTAAAAACAGTGAGTGGTTCTGACTTTTGCACGAAAAGTGTACATTAATTTTCTTATTAAAATGTACTGTTTTGTTATATTTGCGTGCTCGTGTTTCTTTGATCGTCTTCCGGAATAGAATTTTTAAGCAACATGCTTAAACTGTGCTGTTAGCTAAAGTAAGACCGATTCAGGTATTTATTTATGATTATTCAGCATACAGACAAAATAGATAATGAAGGGAAAAATGTACTACCGTCTTTGCGCCTGCTCTAGCGGGCGTCGCGATCTTTAGCAAACAATATCTACTGTATAAAAGGACCGTTTCCCAGCCGAAGGAACAGTTAAGTTCCCTGAACGAACACTTTCGGTCCTGGGATGGAATTTGTGGGCTGCGTTCAATTGATCGAAGACGCACTATACTTGGATTCATTTTCGTATTGAATCGCTATGGACTGTCTAGAGCGTAGAGAAGAGTACAGATCAGTAGAAAGCTAATCTGAAATTGACGATCTGAGTGGTTCACGCGGTCAAGAAATGTAGTGAAACAACATCGTGGCAGGTGATGGGAAATGTCCTAGAGAAGGGGAAAAGTGAATGCTATTTTTAGTGCTTTACTCACATATAGCTACGCATAGCAAGCCGCAACCAAATCAAAATGAGGTAACTATTCGACCGTTCGCTACCTCTGTAATCGGGGCTGTACCACCGATGGTGGCGCAAGGATACGTAACGTAGCATAGGGTAGCGCCTTCTACAAGTTTCCGTCATATTCTCTCCCCTATGCCGTTTTCTACTTCTATAGCTGATGGGCTTGTAGGAAAGTTCTTCTATGCTCGAGTTACTATTTCTTGCACATCGGTCCTATAGTAAGCGGCAGGCGAAAGAGCACCATATCACAATGTAAGGAAGTCCAACTGGCCCGTTGGACCCTGAAAGACCCAACTGCATGCACCTTGCTGCCTAGAGGTCGATCTTCTAGAACTTACAGTGAGGAACATATATGAGGCAAGTCGATGAAAAGAATGCTTACTTGTTATGTTTCTCCGAAGGTTCGCGTTGCTCCGCGCCTATTTTCCCCCCTCGTCAGCTTTTATTGTGTGACTACGTCAAATGATGGCTAGCTCTTAATAAATTGAGTTACATGAGCGCGCCTACTATCTGTTATTGTTGCTACGCTAGAGAGAGTGCAGTGCTTCTCATTCTGAGGCGTACCAGAGGCTTTGCTCTTCTGTTACCTTCGAATGTTGTCGTATAGTATGATCGGTCTGTTTGTTGGTACTTGTGCATGATAATAAGATGTGGATGTCGTGGAAGTTATGGTTATAGTTCGGCCTAGTCAAATAACCTACTAATATATTCTTCTCTTACCCTTTTATTTTATCTCTCAGAATAATCCCCTTTAAAACATGCTTTCCGATCTACCATTACCGGAATTTATGTGCATAGGTAATGCTACTTATTTACAAGCGAAACACACTGGAAAGAAATTCTAGTTGAAGGCACGAACTTCTTGTACGAACCTTCCTTAGTAAACTGCCTATCAAAATGATAGTCATTTACATTGTGCAGCTCAAATAATATAAACAAAAAAACATAGATAAAATCATCGTGATCACTGATATATAACGTTGAAATCAATCTTTCCTAGCAACGGCAACTACGACTTTCTCTAGTCGATAATGAGCAAATGATATCATCTTGTAATCATCTGATCGACTTTCATTTTTGCCGCGGCTCACAATTATTGGTCCTGCTCGTTTAAACCCACAGGCTCACATCCTCCTGTTCGGCAAGTACGTAGCGTCGCGGAACAACCAGAAACGTTAATGGGTGACGCTGAACTCCGTGAGCGCCTCAGACAACATCGCGCCGGAATTCGTGAGGCACTAGTCGTAATGGCAAAGCGCGTTCGTCATCGAAGACATCGACGAAAGTCCGGTGAGTAAACAACTGTAGTTCCGTCAGCTTTAAACGATATGTGAAAACAGTGCAACACTGAAACATATAGAAATGTAATAGAAGATAGCTCGCCTATGCCTTTGCTACGAAAGCAACAGGTGATAACTGGAAATACCTGCTAGCAAACCTTCTCGCACAGCATAAGGTGAAACCCACAGTTTTGTAAACATTGAAGGCTGTAGTATATTTAGATAGTAATTTGTTTCTCGTAACAAGTAAGCATGTGCCAAATCAAATTGCATCGTACTGTTTTACAGGAGTCACTATAGGGCGTTTTTATACGAACGATTGGTGTTTTTTTCCGGAGGTTTCACTAACATTATTGTAATAGGTGCACTTAGCTCCGAGAGATAACCGCTCTCTTTCAAATTGTGGTGTTTAGCGTTTTTACAATACAAATTATCGATTAACTGGTTGAATTTCTCAAGTTGGCATTGAGCACAATCTTTGGTCATGGAAAAGAATCGTAAAGGATATGGATCGACTACCTGCAGCGATCGTTAAGAACGTTAGTTTCATTTGTTGGTAGGTCGATGTCGTTCACCAATCGCTGAAGATCTCATTGGTGTTGGAGAAATTCGCGAGGTAACTGCTGAAGGTTTCCCGCATGGCGCTACAATTCGCGTCGCATGTCTTACTGGCTACGAATCTGCGACGGCCAACGGAACGGCTAGGTGCGTCGAAGGACGTTGGCAACCCAAGGAACCCTTCTGCCGACCCTGTACGTCATATACCGTCACATAGGACCCATTCTTTCGCTTTTGAGCTTCACATGTACATTAGCAATTTTGCGACTTTGTATGTACTGCTACCACCACCTCATAGTTGCTGTAATATCGTATATCAGAGCTTCAAGAGCTCCTTTCTTTCTTAGCTAGCAGTATTTTCAATAACTAAGTGTCACTGAATTCTCATGCCATTCTATAGGTTCATTTGAAAAAAGAACCGGGAAAGTCTAACAAGACTCATTCCGCTACCCCTTGGTAGTGATGTATGTACTTGATGCTATATCGTACTTGTTATTTTGGAAGGTTCCAACAGTTTTTTTTTTTTTTCGAAGATACCCAGGTCGTACGAAGTGTTCGGGACCGCTTGCTATTATCAACCATTATTGCCTTATCGAAAAGTAGATCTAGCTATTACTATGAGGAATTATTGTTATAGTACTTTCTTCGAACGCTATTGAATTAAGGGTTGTACACATACGACGTTCTTTTATCCGTTTCCATTGTTGATCTTGGTATAGATAGGGAACTTTTGGCTCTAGACAGATGTCGTGCATAACTCGCAAAGCGACGCTTGATTTTAGCATTGCTCAGAGAATAGTGGATATTGTCTGTCGTTATAAACTAAGACATCGCGGCTTTCTGCAAACCGTAAATTGCATTGTGTCCTGAAGAACATTAAAGGAAAGCGACTGTCTTTGTTCTGAATCTTTCTCGTAAAGGATATCTCCACGTCTTTGTGTCAGGCCTGTATCTAGGGTCTATATATTTGTTTACAATTTTTCTTTTCTTTTACTTAGTGAACAGCTAGTAAGTAGGTACAACCTGGTGGAATCTGGCATAGGTAACAATAGATATTTGAAACCGTAGGGAAACTATAGCCTGAATTGGCAGCCGTATTTAATTTTAACTAGTAAACTTTGAAACTTGGATAAAGTGAAATATGGGCTTTCTTTATCGCAACCATCTGACTTTTTTTAAATATGCACTCTAAATGATAAGCGGTCAGTACACCCGAGCGTAAACATGCAGTTAGATAAAACATGTGCATCTTCTCGTGGACCAGTTTTCGTGCGGTAGGGTTTTCTGGTCGAAATCTATGATTCAATGTAAGATAAAAGGGGAGGGTTTCAGCAACAAGTCGATGCCGAAAGAGCAGTAAGCAGATTAAACTCTAGCAGGTATTTGCGCCTTGATGGTGGTATTGCGTGCCAGTTTCTATTTTCAAGTAATAACGTGTAGCTGTTATCTGCCTGTCCTTTCTGCCAGTTAAACGATCGGAACGATTGGCAAATAGCTGTTTATTTCCATTGGCTTTAAAGTAGCAAACTTCAGCATCTGCTCGCGTAACGGCCCTCAACTCAAAACCTTGCTGACCCATTACATCCTGCCGCTGTATCCTATATAGGCATCACTGATGAAGTCGATCGTAGTGAACAAGTTAACGCATACTAGTACACGCAAGTCGATGTTAGGAAACGTTGCGACAGGAGACTGCCATTCTATTATTGGGTCCTCAACAGAACTGTAAGCCTCTGGGGAAATGTTGAATTATTTCAGGGAACTGGAATAATTTTGATTGCTAGTAATACATACTTTTAACACCGGTTTTTCACTATGGTCATCGGCCTTGTCCTATTTTCGAGAGCCTTTCTTGCGACGTGCCCTCTTCATCTCGCCTCAAAGAAACGCCTTTCTTCTAAACACACACTGCTTCGCTTTTTAAAAGCAATAGATACTATTCGGAATTCAGATCTGGCTGTCAAAGACACCAGTTTTAATCTTGTTGGTACGTCTTTTCGGCACAACCTATTGACGGTCGAGTAAAGCTCGTTCATTTATGTGCTCACCTGTCTTTTATCAAAGGACAAATCAAAGCCTTACTTTCCGTTCAGTCATTCGGCAGCTTATAGGGCTCGTTGGCTATCGCTTTCACTCCATTCACTTGGCAATATTCGCTTTGCAGCGACGGCGCCTCCAGTATGAACTGTTTCTCGTAAATAAAGAATCGATTGGGTACAAGCGTGCCCCAAAAAGCCACGGGTCACACAACGGGGGAGTGCCGCACGCTTTACTGATGCCCTTAAACCATTGACGCCGTCAGGTTTCCCTACCGTATGGTTAACAGAAACGCCTTTTGATGCCGCAACGCATAAAATATGAACAATGTAAAGGTGGATTGACTAGTGGGGTAGCAATTTTTCTCAAGTCCAGCGCAATGTGATTTTATAATATGCGGACATTAAGACAGCACACGTATGCGATAACTGTAGGTGAAACTATAACAACAAGCATCAGAGCAGAATACATTTTCAGCGCCACTTATCTACTTTGACATTTCATCCGCCTCGGATCTATCATAGAGGTCTTTGATGAGGCGTTTTCATAAAACTTCCTATTTTCCACTGGTCCTCTTCATTTGTTCTCGAACTTGATACACACATTTTTTATAAGTCCATTATCTTTACAACTAACTTAGCCACCAATTACGAGGCGATGAGTTCGCGCTGGAAGAAAATAGTGGTTTCAGACATATGTTTTCCACTTAGAAAATCTACACATAACATATCTCTTCATAGCCGTATGCTTCGAACGTGTAAAGTATCGATGACTTATTGCTTATATAGCTTATATAACCACCGCTTATATAGCGTAAGCTGTGACTTCACTATGCCACACCCCACTATGGCATTCTTTAACTTCAGACGAAACTGTTGCCGCGACGGCCCTTGCTGTGACGTTTTTAGGTGGGTTTAGATACCTAACCGGCCAAATACGGCTCAAAAGAATTGATTTTTTCTTCTTGCATCGTCAGTTTTAAAAATCTGTCTGCAGTCGTTGGCCCTTTGTTTTGCCCCACACTATTTTTCCTCTCCTCGCGTCAGGCAACTTAGAACGGAAGCTTGGTGCCCGCCCTCCTTTTTTTCGATGAAAGGAAGCTGCGCCAATAGCAAAGGTTTGGTTGTGTATCTATCGTGGAAAAATTCTTGTATTTTCAGACAGTTGTCCTGTGGTATCTATTTTTGCTCTTTTCTGCTACAGCGAGCTCGGTACAACAAAAAAACAATAGAAATCTTAATCGCTATAGCAGAGATATTGCATCAGTATGTATCCTAAATGCGGCACGAAGCAGTTCCCGTTTTGTTCGGTCAGCTAAACCCCGCCCGTGTAAGTCTGACTGCAACTACGCACTGCGATACGTCGCGATATGTCTCGCGAAATATAAGGCTTTTAATACAATCTTCATGTTTTATGTGTACGTAGCTTATGGGCATGCACTCGTATAAACGTTTCGTTCTGTAACAATGGTCATTACATAGCACCACACAACATTACTTCTATGTGCAAGCCGTTTAGACCGTACAAGATCCGTACTCCGCTATATTCGTGGCTTATGGAGTACAGAGCCAGAACATCACAAAATGTTTGCTTCTGTGATTTACTGGTTAGTAATGGCAGAACTGTGGACGAATATACTTTTATCAGTGGAAATCTGCCAGTGATCGGTTAACTCGCTAGCTTTGCAATATCGTAAAAACACGGTTCTATCCGTTGTTATGATGGCTGTACAGTACTTCATATCTGACCCATACGGTTTCACAGGTCACCATCCAATAAATTATTTACGCACACTAAAATACATAACCGTTTCTTTCGGGTGGCATGACTTTCCCCCTCAACTTTCACGGTTGGGCTTTGATAGAGCCCAGTTCCTATAAATCATTACGAAATCATCAATACAACTGCTTAAGGTCTGGACAACAATGCTTCTAGAAGAAATGAACACCTAGAGAGGATAGCGGATCTAGCATTTCGGTGTTATGTTATTCTGTAAAGTGGTAAAGCTGCGGGTGGAGTCCTAACATGGCGATGCTAAAGGAAAAAAAAGGAAGAGAAAGCGAGGAACAACATCTCAAACGCTGATTCTTTCGCAAACATGCCTGGGCTTCTGAAAATCCTTTTTCCTTGAGCGCTCTTCGAGGAGCTACAAATGAGGCTTGAGGAAAGCTCGGACTCGAAGTGCCCTTCACTAGCCTGGCACCACATTACGGTCGACCATGCCAGTGTGTTTGCGAGATAAAAGATAGAACGGTAGCAATGCCAGGGCTGCCGGTGGCAAAGGGGATTGGATTTATGGTTGTCATTAGAGACGAGGGCATGACCCGTGCTAGGATGTGGAGAAACGATGCATACCAACAATGGTGATGCAAGGGGCAATGACTAAGCTATCAAAGTGAATCGTGGCTGCTTGATGTTAGTGTAAGTAGACACAGATGTATATATGTACATATATTATATCTGTGTCTACGGCAGTCTACTGCTGAAGTCACCAAAAGGCAGAATAGCTATGACCGAATTAGCAACTATGAAAATATTTATCAGGGAGCTGATGGTTCACGGCTAATTATGACGAAAACCCATAATCATGTCGAAGGCTATGCTATAACTCTTTGGTACGGCCGTAGCTCTTGTTGTCTCGGAGTTCTAGGAAAGGATCCGTAAGGAGCTTTTTTATACTCTTACTTTTTTATCTTTTCTGGAAGTTGCTAGCGACGGAAACGTTTTGTGCATATTTTTTACATTTCAGATAGGCAGTGTGGGCACCAGACATTTATGATCTGAAGACATTTCTTCATTTAGGGGATCGAGCTATGCCACCCACTAAAAGTGCTGCTCAACAGGGACTTAATATTTGATCAATGAAAGAGAAATTCGCTGCATTACACCGGTCAGCATAAAGGGGAGACTCAGCACCAGAAAAAGGGCTCATAAAGCTTCAGAGTTTGTCTCCTGGAGTTAGAGGGGAGAGAGAGAGAGAGAGAGAGAGAGAGAGAGAGAGAGAGAGAGGGGGGGGGTACGAGAGAGAGGAAGAGAAAGGGACACGAGAGAAGCAATAGGAAGCTAAGGACATAATCTTTATTATTACAATTTATGTAGCAACTAAAATTCTACGTTGCTTTTTGTTTTAAAAAAATTTTGTCTGCACACTTGCACA